ATCGGTATCGGACATAAAAAAGTGGTATCGTGCCATCTCTAATAGATACTTAATAATAGATACTCTAATAGATAAGATAGATAATACTTGTCTAAGATATCTTTGTTAAGAATTTGCTTTAGTATCTTAGGAATTTTGCAATTAAGAACCAGTGTAAATTATATCCAAATACAAATGCACTACATTATATTATAATATAATATTACATAGGCTGCTGCCCCTGCGACCCAGCCCTGGATAAGCAGAAGATGATGGTTGGATAATATTATGTCCATTATTTGTGTCCAAATCTGTTGCTGTCTATTGCAAGTTGGTATTTTTGTACAGAATTTTGTCTATGTTTCTGAAACCACTTGACAAACTACTGTTAAAATAAAATGAACCAAAAATTAAATTTAAATACTTGAGATGTTTTTCTTAAGTTTAAAGCAGGACCAAATTCAGTATCACTTGGCTAATATTAATTCTTTCTCTCTTCCACAGGCAAGCAAAGAAATGAATTTTCAAGTGACACAGGTTCAAGTGACATTCCCCCAACCAACAGACACACATCCTGTAGTACAGTGTATATTTAAAAATAACCGCAAAAAGCTCAAGAAGTTACTGAGGCACAATGACATTAATGGACTTTACCCTTCTAGAGAGTGGAAGGAATGCATAACTCCGTTGATTGCTGCTGTTGTAAATCACCATGCAGATATATGTACTTATCTCTTGAAACAGGGTGCAGACCCAAATATACCTTCTCAGTATGGCTGGACACCTTTGCATTATGTCTCACTTTCCAAAGCTCCACTTTTTTTTGTGGAGAAACTTCTAGAAGCAAAAGCTGATTTAAATGGATGCGGTGTTTTCACACCACTGCATACTGCTGCCAACAATGACAGAGAAGATGTTGTAAACATGCTCCTCTCTGCTGGTGCACCGGTAACACTCTTACCTATATCTCCTGAGCATTCAGTTCACAACAGAAGAATATCTGAGATGATTCATAAAATTGCATCCAAAGGAAATGAATTCTGTTCCAAAATCAGATATTTTTTGGATATGGAAATGGCTATTCCTGAAAAAACACCTGAAGAAGTGTTCAGAAATGTTAACAGTCAGATGCTGTTGGAAGATCCTCAGAGCCATCTAACCATGATTGAACTTCTCTTTACTGTTAGAGGGCGAAATGCGGAAAAATACTGCCAGGCATGTATTATATGGCTAAAGGAAACTGGAAATGTGAATACTTACATTGCAGGTGCAGCCAGTCGTTTTCCAAACATCTCTAAGACACAAATAAAGATGGCAGTTGAAAGTTTAAATGCAGTCTTCTGTACAATGGATGACATAACAAATGAGCAAACACTAGCTATAGTTCCACAACTACTGAAACAGCTTGACTCAAAAGACAGTAGTGTTTGTGAATCAGTGTTACAAACACTGTATGTGATAACACAGAAAACAAAAGGCACACAGGACTGGGACTTAGACTTTTTTGAGAAGTTATGCAGAACAGTTGCCCCTTTTGTAAATGAGCAACACTCCACTAACATTAGGGTCTATACATACGGTATATTAGCAAACCTACGGTTAATCGAACAGGCAGCTAACATTTTTACATCAGTGGGTGTAACTTCAGTGCCTGAGGACATACTGACATCAGCTGACATGACAATGAATGAAAAGCTGAAAGAGGTGCTGAGAAGTCTGAAAGAATATCTGAGCAAACCAAACTC